AATTCAAGTGGGATGTTTTTGCTGAGCTGCTTCCACACCAGGCGGCCAAGATGGACGAGGTCCCAGAATGGCTCAAACTTCGGCTGTGTGAGGATGTCAAGCGCAAGGGCCCTAGGAAAGATACGTTTCCAGCAGAGCTGCTTCAGATTGCTGATGGTGTGCTGATGGATGAAGCTAGCCGCGGTCTAGAGATGGACACCAAGTCAGTGAACACCCTTCTGACCAGCCTGGTTGAGATCTACAATGAGGAGGCTGAGGAGTACAACAAGGCTGCTGAGCAGAAGCATCTGCAGCACGTGTCTGATCTACAAGCAAGTGGCTCTCTTTCAGAAGAGGAACTGGAGCAACTTTGCAAGGAGACACCTCCACAGATCTCCTTGATTGCACAGAACATGACAGAAAAGAAGATGGAGCACATAGTCAGCCGATTCTGTAGAACGTGGGGGTTCAGCAGCTACCGGCAGGACCGGCCAAGTAAGCATCTCAGCAGAGCCCATCCAAGTATGAAGGCTGTCTCCGACTACATCAAGTCCCTCAAAGACGAGAAGAAAATCAACCCTCGCTTGATGTTCAACTGGGACCAAGTTTGGACATGCATCTTGGCATTTACCCTGCAGATACAGAAGATAGAAAAGTCTCTTTTTTGGGCTTTCCACCGACAGTGGGGTTGAGTTTGGACCTGCACTGTTTATATAACATGTATGTGCATATATATATACACATAGACAAATAGATAGGTAGGTAGATAGGTAGATAGATAGGGATAGAGACTGACAAAGAGATAGGGCAGAAGGAACCATTGTCGCCTTGGCATTCCCCCTGCAGATACAGAAGATAGAAAAGTATCTTTGTTGGAGTTTCCACCAACTGCGGAGTTGTTGTTGGACCTGCACCGTAGCATTTTAGCAGGGAGAGAGACCAAGATATGTATAATATATATATATATGTATAGGTTTGCCATTGTCAAAGAACAAAAACTGAGGTCTTTTCGAACCTAAGCGGAAGACGTTGTGGAAGAATGGCAGTGCGGGTCCCCAATCAGGTCTTCAACGTTTTGGTGGACGAAAGAAGGTCGCAAATGCCTTGGCCACCCACTTTGGGAAAGATGTGGAGTTCCCCGAGCCCATTGTCTGAGATGGTTTGTTCTGTGTACAAGGCCTTTTTTGTAGATTACCACCTCATTGTTTCCTTTATATATATATATATATGTTTTTCTTTAAGACATTCAAACTAGGAAAGCTGCCTCCTGGGAGCAAAACCTTGCTGAGTTGTGCGGGTATGGAGGTGCCGTCACGTGTCAATCCTGGCGGGTCCCGCGGACATCTACCACAGTCTCATGGGCGGACGGGGACCTTGGCCCCCTGTTCGTGACTTTTGGTGAGGGCCAGCTGAGTGAGAATGAGGTCGATGAGATCAACCGCCTCTACCCAGGCACATTGCATGTGGAGCCCGCCAGCAAAAGGAGCCACATGTGGAATGGAGAGGTGTGTGTGAAGTTTTTCAACTTCATGACACAGGAGCTGAGGCGCAAGAGGCTCCAGCTAGGGTACAAGTCTGCCGAGGAGGCCTCCTGTTTGGGAATATGTGACCGCGCACCATCGCATCAAAGCAGCGTCTTTCAGACACTGCGTGCAAACTGGGCCCGGCAGAACAATGTCATCCTCCTTGGCTCAGATTGTTCAGGTCCATGCCAAATACCAGGTGGATTCGGAGCAACAATGCAGCCGAACGACAGGTGCGGCATTTTAATTCCTTCTTCAAAGACTTTATTAAAGAACCCACCCAGTTGCCTTGGGCTATACAGAAGATAGAAAGGTTACATTGGGCAATGCAGCCTATATGATGAAGGGGTATATGGTCGTTCTTATAAGTTTTCACTTCAAAGGCTTCGTTCGATAACCCACTTACCTTGATGATACAAAAGATAGAAAAGCTGCTTTGGGCATTGCAGCAGTAAAGAAACAATATCGGGGATATATATATATATATGTACATGTTGCTCTAAGGCTTCATTCATGATCCCAACCAATCACCTTGGGAAACCAAAAGATAGAAAGGCTTTTGGTATGTACAAATCATACATCTATACAAGTCTATATACAGGATTCCACCCTTCACTTTGGCTGTACGTAGATGTTTGTAGTGGTACCCTGCCAGGTTCCACCAGTTTTTTCATTTGGTCAGAAGCCATTATATGCGAATTGCTTGCGGAGTCCCGGCCAACCCACTCTATTCGCAGCTGGTGGATAAAGATTTGGGCCCAGACAATGTGCCTGTGATCACATGCCCAGTGAAGGTGTCACTGGCCGCTGATGCTTTTGCGATTCAGAAGCTGCGTGACTACCGCGGTGGCGCTATTCTTCAATGGGCATGGTGCACTACCGGACATGTGTCTGAGGCAGAGCTAGCTGAGTGGCACCACAACGGCGACAAGGCGATGCTTGAGGAGACCATGACCAAGTGCAAAGGTGGCTTTAAAGATCTTCTGTGCAGTTCTGAGCTTCCTTCTGTGGACCACTCGGTCGGGGTTGATCAACAAAACGTGTGTTGTCTTGCCAAAAATGCTCTATAATTAAAGGGTATATATATATAGAAATGTTGGAATTGCAGGTAGGTTGACCAGTTGGCCCTCCAGGTCTACAAGCGTGCATGGCAACAAGCCAGCGGAGTCTTGAAGGGAGAGAAGTTTCATGCTTGGTTTGCTATTCCCGAGCAGGAAGGTGCAGAGAGTGTCCAACTTCCAAGCTATATCAACACACCGCTGGAGGTGCTTGTGGCTCAATGGCTGGCAACCAAGGAGGGATGGGACCGCCGGATCGCATCAAGGGCTCTTGAAGGAAAGGTGCTTGCACCAAAATCCAAAGAGAAGTTTGACACTCGAAGCCTTTGTGTAGAAGTTCATTTTTGGGAAATAGGTGGTGGATACAGAAGATAGAAATGCAATATTGCTAAATTATGCAAAATAAAGATGATATTGGACAACACATGTATATGCATGGGGATGCGAATACATATGAATACATATGAAAACTATATATATACATATAGTGTTTCCAAAAAGATTTCCCTAAACTTGGAGTTCTGAGTATTTGGGTTCATTATTTTGCTTGCAAAATCTTAGGACTACTTCACTTCCCATCCAGAACGCACCCTTGTCGTGGATCTTCAGAACAAGCGGGTTCTACCTGCTTCCAAAGTGAATTCCAAGACTGTGGGCAGCAGGTTCGTGGTTCTCACAGTCAGCATGGCCATTGAGGCAGAGAAGCTCTCGGTGCGCTTTGGTAAGGGACACAAGCACAAGCTTGTTGTGCGGGAGTAGCTTGGTCGAAACCAGGTATATTATATATATATGTACTGCTTGCAAGGGAAATAGGACTCTCCCCAGGTCCCCATTCCTGGAGTTGTCGGAATCCATGGCAACCTGGGTGCCTTGGTGGATACAGCAGATAGAAAAGTGTTCCCTGCTTCAATCCAAAACTACAAGCTTTGGGTCAACGTGTAAATATATATATAGGGCGTGTAGTGAAGACTTCAGAGGGAATGCATTCATGGCACACTTGGCAAGAGTCTTGTGAAATGCTTTACCTACTTCTTGTAGTTTCAAGGGAATTCACAGCATTGAGCCTTGGGCCATACAGAAGATAGAAAAGTTAGAGCTATTCAATCGAAGGGTTGTTTTTACAACCATTTGCCGGTATTCTAGTGCATTGACCAGTTCATTGACCACAATCCCCTGCTTATTTATACAGAGAAACCAAACAAGAGAAACTTTCAAGCCATCCCAGGTTTGAAGCTGCGGGTGCGTCACCAGAGATTCCTAGCTTTGAGAACTTGGAGGCAGCGGACCAGGAGGTCATCGATGGCTTAGTTGGGTGTGAGGAGGATGGAGTTGACCCCGATGCTCCCGTGGATGAATCTGACGAAGAAGAGGCAAAATTTGAAGGTGATATAGATTGATGTTTTTCCAATTGGCCTTGGGCTAGCTTAACATGCCACAAGAAACCATCTGTATATATATATACATTGTTCAGTTCAGCATGTTCTTTGTTTTATTTTCAGTCTGTTCTTGCTGTTCACAATGGAAAGGGCTGCCCACCAAGGCATGTTTGGGACTCTGCTCGATAGGGAAAATAGGTGGAGGATACAACAGATAGAAAAGTGTTTGGTGCTTGTTTCATAATTGCGCAGGCAGTCCCAGCTTGGTTTGTGGATGCCAAACAAGTTTGGTGTCCGATTATATAGAGAGGTCAATGCAGGAATTTGTGAATCCAAAGCTGCTCAGGAGGCCCTCATAGAAGGCCTACCCAAAAGAGCGCCATTCCAGCATGAGCCCTGTTTTGTGCGAGGACATTGGGGTACATGTTTACAAAAAACAACAGAAATTATGTATGTGCCTTGTTACATGGGTAGTTTCTATTCTTGATATTTTACCTTTGACAGTCCCGCTTTTCTATGGGCAAATAGTTTCTTTAAGTGCCAAGAGGCAATCTCAGTGGCTTATGATTCATGCCACAAAGCCTGAAGGGCTTGACGATGAAATTGTGAAGACAACAGCTTCTGAGCTTGGGTCTGGGAAAAAAGAATGTTTTGCAGTGTGGTCACACGTGAACATGTCTGTGCAAATAGCAGGGAAATATGGGATTTTTATATAATCTGAACTTTTCTATCTTTTGTATCGTGCTGGTATCTGCGGTAAAATCTGTCATGTTTGGCCCAATTTGTCTTGAAGTTGATTGAAACCGGCTAACATTTTCCAGGATGTAACTTTTCTATCTTTTGTTTCTCCCTGGTATTTACACAAGATTGTGCACGTGTGACATCGGTCATGTTGTGTGATTTTGACAATTTTGTGTAAATAGCAGCACGAAACAAAAGATAGAAAAGTTGTCTGATATGGGGAATTGACCTAAACTTTTCCAGGATCCGACTTTTCTATCTTTTTGGGGATCACTATAAAGTTCTGCAGCCACAGTTGCTGCGGTTTTGGTGTAGCCTTGCAGGGCAGAGATGACTTGAGCATGGAGGTATTGCTGGAAGCAATGCAAACGTCTCCTGCTTGCATGAGCTTTCGGTTGCTCCAACTGGGGAGACGCAATCACACTGACAGTTAGAACAAAGAGAAATAGGGAAAGAATAGAAGGACCGGAAAACCCCACATGTTAAGCTTGTAAGAACTACCAACGAGAAGAAGAGACTGATAAGAAAAGAGGACGGATGAGTGGTGTTTGATGAGTGTGGTGTAGGATGAGTGGTGTGTGATGAGTGGTGTGTGATAAGTGGTGCAAGATGAGTGGTGTGTGATGAGTGGTGTGTGATGAGTGGTGTGTGATGAGTGGTGTGTGATGAGTGGTGCGTGATGAGTGGTGTGTGATGAGTGGTGTGTGATGAGTGGTGTGTGATGAGTGGTGTGGGATGAGTGGTGTGGGATGAGTGGTGTGTGAGTCGTGTGTGATGAGTGGTGCAGGATGAGTGGTGTGTGATGAGTGGTGCAGGATGAGTGGTGTGTGATGAGTGGTGTGTGATGAGTGGTGTGTGATGAGTGGTGTGTGATGAGTGGTGTGTGATGAGTGGTTGTGTGATGAGTGGTGTGAGAGGCTGCCACGAAATCTGCGCACGACAGGCGCCCGACCACGCGCCAGCCCTCCTGCAGGCTCCGTGTACTGCGCCTGCCACGAAATCTGCGCTGCAGGTTCACCAAGTGCTGTGCCTGCCACGAAATCTACACAACAGGCAGCCGGGCCAGCGGCGACCACACGTCCACCCAGTCCTCCCGCAGGCTCTGTGTACTGCGCCTGCCACGAAATCTGCGCTCAGGTTCACCAAGCGCTGTGCCTGCAGCGAAATCTCCGCTCCAGGTTCACCAAGTCCTGTGGCTGCCACGAGGCTCTGTGTACTGCGCCTGCCACGAAATGCACTCCAGGTTCACCAAGCGCTGTGCCTCCGGCGAAATCTCTTCACCAAGTGCTGCGCCTGCCACGAAATCTACATGACCGGCAGCCGTGGGCCAGCGGCGACCGCGCGTCCACCCAGTCCTCCTGCAGGCTCTGTGTACTGCGCCTGCCACGAAATCTGCACTTCAGGTTCACCAAGTGCTGTGCCTGCCACGAAATCTACACGACAGGCAGCCGCGGGCCAGCGGCGACCACGCGTCCACCCAGTCCTCCTGCAAGCTCTGTGTACTGCGCCTGCGACGAAATCTGCGCACGACAGGCAGAGTGGTGTAAGATGGGTGGTGTAAGATGAGTGGTGTCAGAGAGGTGGTGTGAGATGGGTGGTGTAAGATGAGTGGTGTAAGATGGTGGTGTAAGATAGTGGGGTGAGATGAGTAGTGTGAGATTGGTGGTGTGAGATGTGTGGTGTAAGATAGGTAGTGCGCGATGAGCGGCGGGCGTGTGGGCGGCGGAGGCGGACGCGGAGCGGCGGGTGCAGAGCAAATAACAAGAACCCCACATATAGATGTGGCAAAAAATGAGAGATAGAGAGAGAGAGAGAGTGTGCAAGAGAAAGAGAAAGAGGGAGAGAACCGAAGCAGTGTGGGAGTGGAATTGCTTGCAAGGTTGTCGCGCTGCGATGATCAAGAGAAAGGCTTTGAGTTTGAGTGTGCTCAAAGCTTTGTAGCCGCTTTATGATGTATATACATGCAAGGTTGAGACTTGGCTGAACGCAATAATGAATGAAAGACGCTCAGGTGGTGAGAATTCGGAGAAGCTTGCAGCTGCGAGGATCCTTGCCAAAGACGTCCTCGACTCTTTCACGGCTATGCGAGAGTACCTTCGAGAGGTGGGTGCAATTTCTGTAAATGGAACGTGTCACTGTTGGAAGTGGACCATAGAATCTACTATCGGAAGGCTCGAAGAAAAATGACACTGAGGAAGACGAAAAGGAAGAATTGTTTTGATCGATTTTGGCAAGGTTGGACGTTGCCTGGAGCGAGTAGATCCACATTTATGTCGAAGCCTTTGTACCTTTGACATGGCTAGCCACATCTCATTCAACTCTGAAAACTTTAGCCGCTGAAGGTATGTGTACTTGGGTTTCAACATTGCCATTTTGTAGTCTTTTTCTAGGACCCTGTCAACTCTTTGGGAGGCAACAATGTTGGCCTTGTTGCACGGTTAGTTGACTGGGAAGAGAGTTGGGAGGCTGGAGGAACCAGGAAGCTGTGTAGCTTAAAGGAGCGAGCGTTTCTTTCGAGCTCAAGTTTGTGCAGGTTGGAACCCGCTATGTGCAACAGGAGAAAATGCTAACCGCTGAACCGCGCTTAGTTTGAAAGTTGCTTTATAGAGTGAGGGCCTTTCTAAGATTTTGAAGTGTCTGAGCTTGCGATCCATCAAACTCTTTCGGAAGAATCTGCGTTTGGTAGCGTTGTCGTGCCTGACACCGTGTTCAACGCACCTTTCCAACGGTCTTGCATGCCACACACATTTGAATTATTTCAACCTGAGCCTTGCATCTGGAGCCCAGAGCCTGGTGGGGGAGAGCGAAAAAAGAGGTGGGCCACTTGGTAGTGAATTATAGGACCGGATAACCCCACATGGGAACAACTTCGAAAGATTGAAGCTGCAGACATAAGGTGCTGAAGAGTGAGCATGGGGAAGAGACAGGCGAGACAAATAGAATGCGTAAGGGTCGGTGTGTGTAGGTGAGGTGTGTGTTTGATTGTATGCGCTTGTCCGTGAGTGTGTATGAGTGTGTGGGTGGATGTATGCTGTATGACGCTTGTGTGCATGTAGGTGTTTGTAAGGTGTGTGTTTGTGTATGTGTCTGTTCATCAGTGTGTATCTGTGTGTATCCGTTTGTGTGTATCTCGTCAGAGAGTCGGTCGTCGGAGACGAACTGGTCCAAGTGTCCTGAGCAGGAAGATGCATACTGGTCATACCGATTCATATGGTTGACTCATACGGTTGACTCTGCGTAGCTTTGAGCTCCCGTGAACGAGCGCAGGCAACGACCTCGGAGGCGACTAGAGAAGACAAGATCTCAAACGCACCGAAAGACACCAGGTGCACAAACCATGAAAATTATCTGCAGGTGAAAGCATCCAGGGCCACACCTGCCACGCAACTGCTACCGGCAGAGCGGAATTTGACAGCGTCCCAGAACCACAACTGCCACGCAACTGCTACCGGCTGATTTGACAGCATCCCAGAACCACACCTGCCACGCAACTGCTACCCGCTGAGCGCGATTTGACCGCATCCAGGGCCACACCTGCCACGCAACTGCTACCGGCAGAGCGCGATTTGACAGCGTCCCAGAACCACACCTGCCACGCAACTGCTACCGGCTGAGCGCGATTTGACCGCAACTGCTACCGGCAGAGCGCC